CCTGCTGAAGTTTTACACTTTCACTCCCATTTCTAGAATGTATGCTTGGCTTGCAAAAAACTTGATTTGTTAAACTAGAGAAAGAAAGGGTTGATGAGATGAAAAACACACTATGCAGTGGGGGCGGGGTGATTTTGCTGTGGCTGACTCCCGAGTCTATATGTGGATGCATGCCATATGTGTTCACAATCAGCATGACGTAGTGCCTGCCAAAGGGGATGTTGTTATTATTATTCTGCTGACAAAGAGGAAAATGCAGTCATTTATAACCATAGAGTTACGGAACAGAACCATAGCTGACAAAAGATCAAACACTGAAACATGTCTCTGTAATCCTGTCTCCATCAGGGAGCTTGTTAAATACACTCACACACACTTCCTGTTTCTCCAAAGCACCGGATACTACCAGACAGCGGACACTAGTTTGTGTCTGCTCTCTTACATGTGCATGATAATTTGTGAGAAAATATACTTGTCTCTAATGTTTGCTTGTCCGTACCTTAGTGTGGATGTTTGCATAGTAAAGCAGGAGCAGGGGTGATGAGTAAAAATACAAGTTTATTTTTGTGTCTATGTGTGTGTGTGTGAGTGTGTGTGTGTGTGTGTGCTTATCTGTCTGGTGCCTTGGGGCAGCTGGGGGGGAAGTCTGCTGCCTGCTGCGCTCCAGTCTGCTTATAAAAAAACAAAGAAGCAGTATTGAAGGAGGTGAAGACCATGTGGAGGCCTTCATTCATTAGGTATCCAGTGCTAATGAATGTGCTCTACACTACACTGGAAGTGGACATACCTTCGTGGAGGTTCAGCTTGAAGGTTGAAAGCATTTTTCCTCTAATTGGAAAATTTGTTTATCCAAACTCAAAATAAAAATGTTTAAAAAGATAATTCCTGTTTTTTTATTCGTGTATTCTCTTATAAAATGTAGTGTATAACCATATACTTACTTTTGTTCTATAAATTGGTCTGTAGTATGATGCTGCCCTCTTCACTTTCGTTCTCTTAAAAAAGCAACAACTTAGGTTAAATGTTAGAAGCAATTACAGTAAATAACAGTAAATTACAGTAAATAAAGCAATAACAAGAGGGGAATGGTGTGAAATGTCTATGTGTGACACTAACTCCAAGCAAATTTACAGCCTCATACAGTAAACCAGAATGTCACAGAGTTTGATTTAGCTTGTGGTTAGCTTGAATCTATGACCTAAAATAAGTGGCTCCAATTTCCCTCACACACGGAGGCTGTGGAAGGCTGTGCAACACTACTGGCCTTGGCAGAGGATCTGTGTTGTACAGGCATAGACGACAGGGGTGGATTTCTGCCAGTGACCGTGTCTCCTGTATCTTTGTTCAACGTGCTGATGGCAATGGTGAGACAGGACGTCTCGCTAACATTATGGTTATTCACCAAGACTAATATTATAAATGCATATCCACCAGGATGCAGGGGTAAGGTTGTGACACTATTGTTCTATACACCTTCTGGCTCATTTAAGGATAGTGAAAGATGGGCTGCATTGGCAGTGATAGAGACCATTTAAGATAAGACCAAAAAAAGATGTTTACTTGGAGAAACTCAAACTCCACTGACAGAAAATGTGTCTGAAGTGATCTGTCAAAACTAGGATTTCATGGAGGACCAGATGTTTTGATGTAATCATTAAAAAACTATATTTGCAGTTAATTTTTAGAATATAGTCAAACACAGTCACCATGCTGAAGTGTCCTTGAGCAAGTCTCTCATTCCTGAAACTCTTTGGGATGCTGTTCTGTAACTGGCCGTATCTTCTGAACTCCCTTGAGGGGGACAAGTGAAAAGAGAATTTCCCTGTGGAGGTGAAATAAGTATCATATTGCTAAGTAACGACAAACTCAACAAGCTGCAGTCATGCGCCTCAACTGATTCAGCAAAGAAGACACACAGCTTTGGCTTTTGAAAGGATATGCAGGGCAAATAGGAATAATTTCACTGACAATGATTCCAGTGTTTACATATTTAAATGGAGAACAGGCCAAAGTGATGGGCCCGGTAGTGACTTCATGGTGGATGTGAGAGGGTTTGGCGTGGAGGTGGGAAGGGGGTGAGAGCGGTGGACGGATTTTCACTGATGGATGTCCAGTTAGTGGCCACATCAGAGAAGCCGGGGGGCAAGCAGACTGCAAGCACTTCTCCCCTCCCTCTAATCTGTGCCTGGGTAATGAGAAACACATGGCTCCCCATAATGGCTCCAGTGTTGTCCTGTGAAGTCGAGCAGGGCTGCAAGGGTCGTGTATATGCCAGCACACAGCTTTGTGACAATAAATACACTGCTAACACTTTCCTTTACATGCTAGTACAGTGCAAACCATGTACAATATATACATAGAGTATACAGTATAAGTTCTTTGCCTTTTTTAGGTTGTTATCAAA